TTACTAATAGGTATGGAGTTTCTTTCTGGGGTGCTAAAAAATGTTCTAAAATTAGCCAGTGATGATGGTTGTATAACACTGGATAGTCTAAAAACCTCTAAATTCCATTTGAAGAGGTGGGTGTTGATAGTATATACAGTATGAAAAAGCATACACAAACGAAATCTGTGTGTGTATCATTTTTGTGGGGGCTTGAATTATTTGGTCGATATGTTGAGATTCATTCACGTAAATGCATGAATTTGTAATACCTGTAGTTAATTTATTTTCCTTCTAGTGTGATATTGCATTGTATGAATATCCAAAATGTATCTAGCCATTCTTCTCTGCAAATATTCTTGAGTGGTTTATAATTTTCTTCCTCCTTCCCTGCCCCTTTGCACAGGATTCTGCTCAGAACCTCCTGGTGGGTGCGGTCCTGAGGGCTTCTCTGGAGTATGAATGGGAGGGTGGGGCTTGCTGGACGGTGGGGTGTGCACAGGGTGCTCTGTTGCATTGCTTCACCCCGTCCAAAGAGTGCGTCGCCTTTACTCTCCCCGCAGCAGTTCATGGGACTTTTTTTCATTGTTCCACACCTTTGCCAATGCTTGTTTCTTTTTCCGACTTAAGTTTTGGTAATCTGGTAGGTATAATAGTATTTCAATTTATATTACCCTTATTAATAAAAGGCACATTTTTTGGCTCTTTTACGTTCTCCTTATGGTTTTATGCTTCTTGAAGATTTTACTTTTTTTCCAGTTGACTCCAAATTCTTTACATTCTCAGACTACTTGTCCCTTATCACGCATGTGCATGTTTTCTTTTCATCTCTCCTTTTTAAACGTTGCATTTTGAAGTGTCTCTGACATACACCAGAGTGCAGAGAACGACTTCCTGGTGATTCCCCATTCCTCCCAAGTGGCCCCCCTGGATTCAGCCAGCCCTCCGTGGTGCCCACGCTGGGCTATTGTGAAGCAAAGTCCAGGCGTCCTATCATTTCATCTGTAAGTATTTCTGTGTATATTTCAAAGTGCTAAGCATTCTTTAAAAAATATTTACCAGTTTTCAAAATAATGGGTTGATTCCTTGTGTTCTCTAAAAATTACCATACAGATTTTATTCCCTGTATGAAAAACATGGTATTAAAAGACATGATATTTAATCACATTCAATGAACTATGGGTAAAGGATTTGCCTTATTATGTTCAAATTACCCCATCACTGGCCAGTGGGAGCTTGATTCAAACCAGTCCCTGTGTCTTTCAAGCACAGAATGGAGGGCCTCCTTCTATTCGGGTGTGAAGAAATGTCCTAGGTTCATCTTTAACATTTGCTGCTCAAGACCTGGAACTGGCCATTGCTTTAAAATTGTTTATTTGGTCTTTTATTTATTTTATTGATTTTAATATATTTTATTGATTATGCTATTACAGTTGTCCCATTCCCCACCTTATTCCCCTCTGCCCTGCACACCCCCTCCCACCCACATTCCCCCCCCCGCCCTGTAGTTCATGTCCATGGGTCATACATATAAGTTCTTAGGCTTCTACATTTACCATACTATTCTTGCCCTCCCCCATCTATCTTCTACCTACCATTTATGCTACTTATTCCCTGTACCTTTTCCCCCTCTCTCCCCCTCCCACTCCCCTGTTGCTAACCCTCCAGGTGATCTCCATTTCTGTGGTTCTGTTCCTGTTCTAGTTGTTTGCTTAGTTTGTTTTTGTTTTACATTTGGTTGTTAATAACTATGACTTTATTGTCTTTTTACTATTCATATTTTTTATTGTTCTTTTTCTTAGATAAATCTCTTTAACATTTCATATAATAAGGACTTGGTGATGATGAACTCCTTTAACTTGACCTTATCTGGGAAGCACTTTATCTGCCCTTCCATTCTAAATGATAGCTTTGCTGGATAGAGTAATGTTGGATGTAGGTCCTCCTTGCCCTTTATGGCCTGGAATACTTTTTTCCAGCCCCTTCTGGCCTACAGGGTTTCTTTTGAGAAATCAGCTGATAGTCTCATGGTCACTCCTTTGTAGGTAACTGTCCCCTTTTCTCTTGCTGCTTTTAAGATTCTCTCCTCTTTAATCTTGTCTAATGTAATTATGATGTACCTTGGTGTGTTCCTCCTTGGGTCCAACTTCTTCAGGACTCTCTGAGCTTCTTGGATTCCTGGAAGTCTATTTCCTTTGCCAGATTGGGGAAGTTCTCCTTCATTATTTGTTCAAATAAGTTTTCAATTTCTTGTTCTTCCTCTTCTCCTTCTGGCAACCCCATGATCCGGATGTTGGAATGTTTAAAGTTGTCCTGGAGATTCTTAAGCCTCTCCTCATTTGTTTGAATCCTTGTTTCTTCATTCTGTTCTGGTTGAATATTTCTTTCTTTTTTCTGATCCAAATCGTTGATTTGAGTCCCAGTTTCCTTCCCTTCACTGTTGGTTCGTATACATTTTCCTTTATTTCATTTAGCATAGCCTTCATTTTTACCTCTAATTTGTGACCATATTTAACCAAGTCTGTGAGCTTCCTGATTACCAGTGTTTTGAACTGTGCATCTGACAGATTGGCTATCTTTTCATGGCTTAGTTGTATTTTTCCTAGAGCTTTGATCTGATCTTTCATTTGGGCCATTTTTTGGGGGGTAGTCTCCCAGGCCTGTTATGTAGAAAGGGGCAGAGATTTAGGTGTTCACCAGGGCAGGGCAACCCACATTGCTACATTGTGAGGCTGTACATGGGGGTGGGTCTGAGAGGGAACAGTGCCACTTGCTCTGCTCTCTGTCAGCTTTCAGTCACTTCCCCTGCTTCCCACAAGCAAAGTGGGCCCTTCTGGTGATGATTCCCAGGTGGGTGGGCTTGTATACATTCTTGGACCCTGTGGGTGTCTCCAATGAACCTCCTGTGAGGCTGGGAGTTTCTCCTGCTGCCATCTCAACCCCCACAGGTGTTTTCAGTCAGAGGTTTGAGGCTTTATTTCTCCACTGGGATCCTGGGTTGTGGGCCTGTCTCGCTCCCCAGTTGTTCCTCCCGGTTTATCTGCACATGAATGTGGGACCCGGTCCTCCAGCTGCCACTCCAGCCTCTGCCTTGCCTCCAGTCCTCTTTGAGCTGCTGCCTGTCTCCGCCCCTCCTGCCATCTGGGTGGGTGTTCCTTCTTTAACTCCTTGGTTGTCGAACTTCCATACAGTTTGACTTTCTGTCAGTTCTGGTTGTTTTTTGTTTTTAAATGTATTGTTGTCCTTCTTTTGATTGTGCGAGGAGGCCCAGTGTGTCTACCTACGCCTCCCTCTTGGCCAGAAGTCTCTTTGGTCTTTTATATCATGTATAATCATTACATGGTTACTAAGTGAAATTAGCAAAATAAGGTATTTATTTTTAATCCTAACCTGGGGACTTTTTTTTTAATTGATTTGGGAGGGAAACAGTGATCAGTTGCTTCCCACACACGCCCCCACTGGGGATCGAACCTGCAAACTTTTGTTGCACAGGATGAGGTTTTAACCAATTGAGTCACCTGGCCAGGGTGGCAAACTATGATATTTAAATAGCTTTCTCTCCCCCATATCTCCCCTTCCCCGTGATCACAGTTGGTCTCGTCTCCTCGGGAATCTGCTGACAGTGGGATCGGCGATCGACAGTGGCAGGTAGCCTTGAGGCTTCAAACAGTGCTCCTGGTCTTCCTCTCCTGGGAAGCAGGGAGATTCCCCTCTAGGCTTTTCCTGGGAAGGCTCCCCAGGTGGCCAGTGGCTGGGCTGTCTCAGAATGGACTTTCATCTAGGCCCCAAGCCCACCAGCAGTCTCAACAGTTCCTATAGCAGACGATGTGCTTCAGTGATTTTGCTGAGTATTTTAACCCACTGCATTAACTGTGAAGCTCGTATCGGACAACCTGCCGAGAGCCCGGATGTGACACCTTGGCAGCGATGGAGAGCCAGGTCCTGTCCCTTTGCCTTCTTCCCCACAGATGCTCAGAGACCCATCTAACACTGCTGCATCTTTGTCTAGACCAGACCTTTGCAGACTCAGGACCCGTGAGAGTCTCAGGGCAATGTATGATGGTAAAATTTATTTCATTTTATTTTATTTTGAGATTTACATTGAATCTGGATCCAAGCGGCCTCCCTGTTGTAGCTTGACTATGAATATGTTAAAATGGCCAAAAATTAAATCCCTGAATTTTTTTGTCAAAATAAGGACAGAAAAAGGCCAGACCCATGCTTTAATGTAAAATAGATAAAATGAATTCAGTTTGTCCTCAGGTGTTGAGAGGCAAGACAGGGAGGGGCCTTCCCAGGAAACCTGAAGTGGATGCGTGCTTCTTACAGGGCTGTCATTTATCAGTGGCACAGGTGTTGGCTGGGGCGTGCTCGTGGGATGTGCTCCCTGAGACAGACCCCCGTGTCTGGACACCCCACCAGCACCAGGGTCAGTCAGCCCTCTGGCATAGCAGAGGGGTCGCAGCCAGGGGCTTTGCCCCTGAACGACAGGGATGCAAACCCTTGGTAGACTTCCTGCGGGCCTCAGCCCTGCCCCTTCCACGGGAGAAATCAGCAGTAAGGGAGGAAAACATTTTCACATATTAGCAACAAAGGGCTTTGTTTGTTGGGAGAGTTCTTGCCGCTCTTCAAAAGTTAGATAATTCCCGTGCTTCATAAACCATTACAAACCATAATGGCAAAAAAAATTCTCAATTTAGTTTTAAACCCAGTCTACCTTGATACTTGCCCAATCTGTCTCCTCTAATTGCTGGCTCTGCCCCATACCAGTATCAGTGGTTTCTCTCTCCCTCTCTGTCTCTCTGTCTCTCTGTCTCTCTGTCTCTCTCTCTCTCTCTCTCTCTCTCACACACACACACACACACACACACACACACACAGCCCTCCTGAGGAGTAGAGGCAGTCTTCACCCCTCCCCAGTCCAGGCCCAGGCCCAGGCTCCTCCTCCTGCAGCACCGTGGCTCCCAGCAGGGATGAAGGGGGGCAGGGGTGTGAAGGCAAGAAGGCATCAGCCCAGAGCTGCTCTTAACTATTTATTGACAGGAGGAAAGGGTGCGGGGCTGGGGCTGGTGTGGGTGCCCGGCCTGAAGGTGGCAGCATCTTGCCCCAAGGCAGGGATACTCAGCCGCTGCTCAGCCCAGGAATGTCAGGGCTCCCTGGAAGGAGAAGCCAAGAGTGAGTGTGTCCCCAGAGCAGGGAGGCCCGTGCAGCTGGGGGCTGTTGGGAGAGGCACTGCTGATGCCCTGGCCAGGTTTCTGTGGGGCTCAGGCTGCCTGCTGTGCTGGGACAGACATGGGTGGTGTCCCCTTGACGGGCGCATCCCCACCTAACCCCCTTGGGCCCTCTGCAGTGCCACATTGTTCAGATATGGTTGGTCCACCTGGTTCCCACCAGAGGCCACCGAGCTCCCGGGGGTGGGTAAAAGGCGGTCCTGTCGTGGGTTTACAGGAGTGGAGGGCATGTGTCCAGGGGGAAGGGCAGCACACACAGCGGGGTGGCAGATGCCCCCTTTACCAGCAGTGACTTCAGAGCCCCCACAGCCTCGGGGCCCAGCTCAGTTACACACTTCCTGGAGCCCTCCACCAGATGATGCACCGGGATGCCCAGATTGGTCAGCAAGAGCTTCAGGAGCATGAGGGGGCCGAAGCTGTTGAGGGAGGGAACGGGCAATTCCCCAGCCGGGGCTCCGGCCCCAGCCAGGGCCCCGGCCCCAGTCTCCAGGGCCCCAGCCCCAGCCTCTAGGGCAGGGGTGAGGACGGGCACAGCTGGGACTTCAGGCTTGATCCTGGAGCCCATGAAGAAGGCTGTGGCTGCAAACACAACAGAGAAGAGTGGCCCACCTGTGCCTGCCCAGGCCCCCAGGGGAACTGCTGAGGGCCCCTGTCCTCCGGGAGGGGACTGGGGCCTTTGGGACCTGCCAGCACTCCCAGCTACCCTCCCCCTCGCTCAATGACTGCACAGAGCTGTGGCCCAGCAGGGAGCTGGCTGAACACAGGGTCAGAGTCCCCCTGAGGGGTGCCTGGGCAGGCTTCCTGAGGAAGGCACTGGGCCTTGGAGGGTGATGCAGAGGGCAGGTGATGTTCCCACCCAGGCCAGTGCTCACACCAGCCCAAGGCTGGGAGAGCCTCTGGTTGGGGGAGGAAGAGAAACTGGGGCAGGCAGGGCCATGAGAGGAGGCCTGAGGACTCAGGCGGGGTACACCAGAGGACTGGCCTGAGGGGCCTGGTACCCCCAGTGGAGGCAACAGGGTCAAAACTGGCTGGACTGGGGCTGTGGGGCCCATGGCGAGTGGGGACCGAGGCTGGAAGACACTCACTGCACTGGCTGAGCAGGGCCACGCAGAGCACCGGCAACACGGCGGTGAGCTTCATGGTGCCAGGGGCTCAGGGGATGCTCCTGGAACCCAAGACGTTGCCCAGAGCCTGGGGCTGTGGGCTTCATATACCCCACCCTCGCCCCTCCCCAGGGCTGGGCCTCCCCCACCCAGTCCTCCTGAGAAAGGTGTTGTTTGCTCAGCTAATAGGCAAAGCCCTGGCCAACTTCCTGCTCAGTCTGGTGGGCCCTGGGAAGTTCACACCCCCCACCTGCCCGGGGTGCGGGACTTCCTCTTGGCCAGGTCCTTTGTGAGGGCAGCAGCGAGGCTGGGCTTTGTCTGCACGGGGGCCCAGCCAGGCCTCTGCCCTGCCCATGAGCTTCCTGGCCTGGCCCCACCTGGCCTCCGCAGTCGGGGGGTGGGGATGGGGGCAGTGGAGGAAGGAGCAGGGCTGTGACCCCAGACTCTCCCTGTTCTCAGGGCCTGGGAGGATCATGCAGTGGGGCCTCCCAGCTCCTGCTGGTCCTGGGGAGGCCGTGCAGGTGGGGTGCTTGGGCCTCCTGGCTGCCTCCCTGGTGGGGCCATGGGCAGCTATCAGTGCCAACAGAAAGACCTGGGACATTTTCCATCTTTGAAAGTAGTAGTTTTTTTTTTTCAGGGGCGGAGAAAGAGATAGAGAGACAAAGAGAGAGAGAGAGAGAGAGAGAGAGAGAGAGAGAGAGAGAGAGAGAGAGGGAAATGTCAATTTGTTTTGCCACTTATTGATGCACTCATTGGTTGATTCCTGTATGTGCTCTGGTGCCCTGACTGGGGATCGAACCCACAACCTTGGCCTATCAGGATGATGCTGTAATGAACTGAGCTGCCAGGCCAGAGCTGAAATCAGCCCTGGCATGATGAGTTTCACACATCTGTCTCCTGCAGAGCAAAATATACTTAACCCATGACGTGGTTCACCAGGGGACAAGCCTTTTCAGGGAGAGTCCCAGGACACACCCAACCCGGGTCACCAGGGGTCTCCAGCACCCCCGCCCCCACCCCGGCCCGGCCCACCCCAGCCCAGAACCCCTGGGGCCCGGCATTCCTGCTCTCCTGCCTGCAGAGGGCGTGGCTGACCAGTGGCCCTGGTTACTCGTGTGTGTGCACGCGCACGGGCATCTCCGTTCCTCTGGTCCTTTTTCCGTGACTGGTTTGGGAGGTTTGCGTCATAAATATGTGTTTTGTTGGCTGCTGTGGAAGTAATTTTAATAGAACACGCACTTCAACTTGTAAAAATTCACCTTCCAAGGGATTTCATCGAGGGAAGGCTGCTCACCAGGCAGGGCCAGGACGCGGCCGTGATGCAGCAGGGTGGGGGCCGGCGGTCTGGTGGCCTCACTACCCATGGTGCCCGGCCTCGTCCTCTCCAGGAGCACTTGCTGAAGGACACAGCTCTGGCCAACGCCCTCCCGAAAAACCTGAGCCAGCCTCGTGGGCTGCCGTCTTCCCGATAAGCAGGGGTTCTGGAGCCTGGGCAAGGCGAGGGCGGGGGGTGGGGGGTTCGCTGTGGCCCCTAGGCGGCAGCAGGGCTCCCCAGGGTGGAGGCTGGTTTGGGGGTGACAGGATGTCTGCACAAGGGGGATGAGGACGACATGGATGCGGCCAAGCAGCTCTTCCCAACGAGAACCCAGGAGACTGTGTCCGCCCCCTGCCCCTTCCTGTGGCAACACAAGTCTCTGAGCACCCTCGGGCCGGATGCAGGGCTACGGTGGCCCTGCACCGCGGCCCCTTCCGGAGCGCCGCCTCTGCTTGGTGGGGGCACCTGCCCTCAGGAGAAGCTGCTGGGGCAGCTGAGAATTGTAAGTTTCCTAAGTGGGTGTGTGTGGAGGTGGGGAGGGTGCCAGAATGTTCTCATTTGTCCTCTTGTCCCTTTGAAATTTGGGGACAGGGGTCTTTGCAAGGGGCATGGTCCCCGCCAGTGTGAGGTTGGGGGGAGGCAGGACAGTTCCCAGGGATGCAGCTGATAGACCTCAGACCCCTGGGGTCTCCTTTCGTTGTGGGGACCAGAGTCAGGCATTCTTCAGGAACCATGTGTGGGGGTGCTGGGTGGGGCTGCTCCCCTCTGAATCAAGTCCTGCCTGGGAGCGAGCCCCTGCATGCTGGGGCCGAAGACATCAGGGCAGGGGTTCACTGGGAGCCGACCTGGGACACCTGCCACTGAGCAGACGGAACCAGAGAAAGCTGACAGCAGGTGGGACTGACCAGGATGGAGCCAGAGGCCAGGAGGAGGCGGAGGCTGCCAGCTGTGCCTTCCTAGCAGCGCTGGCTCTTGGTCGCAAGCGCCCAGCGGTCCCCTGCCTAGCCTTCCTGGCCCTCTTCATCTCTAAAGCAACCCTCACCCCACTCTCACCCACCGTGGTTAGCGGGGGCCTGTCACTGGCTTCCCGTGAACCTGCACAGTGATGGTAAGCCTCCTCATGTGCACCCCAAATTTCTGATTCCACCAGTACACCCCTCCTCCCCGGATATCCAGCAAAGTGCATCTCATTGTGTCCCCGTTTCTCCACCAAGGAGACCAAGGGACTTGCCTCTGGCTCCTGAGTCCTGATGGTCAAGGCTGGGACTCAGTCCAGGCTGGCCCAGCCCCTTGCCCCACACCAGGCCTCCATGCTGCCCCTTCTGAACCATCTACGGCGGGGTTGGGGGCAGCTGGGGGGCATGTTGAGCCCGGGCGCCAGCCTCGTGGCCCTGGGACACCTCTGCATTTGTTTCCTGGGGCAGCTAATGACTGACCACACCCTCGGGGGCTGAACACTAAACCCACTTCCTCACCTGCAGAGCTGGAGCCAGAAGCCAGTGTCACCGGGCTGGAACTGAGGGGCTTCAGGCTTGGCTCCCCTGGGGCTCCAGCCTCTCGGCTCATGGAGGCCCCCCTCTGCTTGGCTGTGGCCATATCACTGCAGTCTCTACCTCTGTGGTCCCAGGGTGCTCCCCCCCCCACCCCTGCTCACCTTTGTCTCTGAAGTCTCTCTCAGCCTCTCTATTATCACATGTAATTGCATTCAGGGCGCACCGGATAATTGAGGCTGTAACCTCATCTCACGATAAATTACAGCTTCACCTGTGCCGAGACTCTTTGTCTGTTAACGGTGGCACAGGCTCAGGAGTTTGGTCCTGGATAGCTGTGGGGTGCTCCTAAGGCTATCCCACCCCAAGCTGGGTGGCTTCCTCCCGTTCCAGGCCAGTGGGTGGGTATCCCCACCAGCCGATGCCAGGAGCAGGTGCAGGGAGGGCAGTGGCCGCAGGGGCCCCCAGTCCCTGCTGCTCGCTTTCCTCCACTGGGGAGAGGCTGGGCTGACCCCGAGGTGCTTTCCTGCAGACTCTTGGCCAGCCCATCCTGGGCAGTGTTTGCAGGGCCTCCTTGGTGCCAAAGCAAACACGGGCCCCTGGCTTGTCCCTCCGGGAATGAGGCGCTAGAGGTAGATGAGAACATCGGCAGCCCCGGGGCATGGACCCAACACCAAACTGAGCTGTGGAAGGGCCACGGGGCTCACGGGCCCTGGGAGCCGGCCTCAGGCGGGGTGCAGCTGAGGCCCGTGCCAGCAGCTGAATGAAGCCTGGGCCTCCCGTGTGGCTCTGACGTCAGCAAGCACCTTCAGAGAGTGTGTGGCAGTTGTCCCTGCTCTGTGACACAGGCAGCAAGGCCAGGAAACCCTTTTTGTTTGGCTGGGGCCGCCAGGCATGGCACCCCCAGGTCCTGGGACTTTCCTGGTCTCTTCTCTCTCTTCCTGCCAGACCTGTGTCCCTGCCTCTGAGTCCTCTCTGTGGCTGAGGACCCCAGTTTCCCTCTTCGTGAGGATGTGGCCACTCTGGGCCACAGGTGTGGGCCCTCAGTCCCGGCAATCAACTTGGCTAGTGAGCATCATTGGAGTTTTCCTGGGGTCCTGGAGGCACCCTTCCCGGCTGCCCGCTCTGTAACTTGCCCTCATGTGATCCCCGTGCAGCCACTCGAGCTGGGGCTGGTGTGGCCGGCCCTGCGCGGCGCTGTGGTCTGGGGTCTGGCACATGTCTGCAGTGTCACTCGAGCATTATCTGCTCCTGTTTCAGTCTGTGTGGCCGAGGCCCACACAGGCCTGGAAACAGCCCCCTCAAGCTACAGGCAGTGGGCACAGAGGGGGGGCAGCCTGAAGACAGCTCCCCCACCCAGTAGCTTGTCTGGAAGAGCCCCAGTCACACGACCGCCCTCCCCTGGAAGTCCTTCCAGGCCAGCAGCACAGCAGCCAAGAGAAGACCCACCCTCCAGCCGTGAGTCATTGCCACGAGGACAGAGGGGCCTGTGGGCATGTGCAGGGCTCTCCTGGGAGCTGAGACAAGGCCATCTCCATGGAGCCTGGATGTGGCCCTGAGAGGAGCAGGCCAGGGTCAGGGCTGGAGCGGGAGGGTGGCCGGGCTCACCGGCCAGGTACAGAGTTGGTGCCCTGCCCAGGGGTCACACCATGACTTTGCCACCACCCACCTCGGTTCCTTCCTCTTCCTCATAGCTCGGTCATCTGAGCCCTGGGGCTCTGGGCAGTGTCACCGGCGTGTCCTCTTCCTGCCTCTGTGGGCACCTTCACTTGGGTCAATATTGACCTGGCTCTGGGAGCACTTCCTTCTGCCCCTTCCCTGACCAGAGCCCTGCCTCAGGGGTGGGGCGGGGCCCGCTGCTGCCCACAAGGTGTTTGCTGTGTGGGCTCCAGGTGAATGTGATTGGAAAGCATGGCTTAACTGCAGGGCAGACCGAGAGCTGTCTTCCTCAGGGTTACAGCGGGGCCGGTTCAGGCTCAGGGGAACGGGCTGCTGTCCCCAGGAGCCTCCCATGAGGTTTCACGGCGTCTCCTACTCTGAGTGGCTGTGCTGGCCAAGCCATGTCCTGCACAGTTAGGTCCAGTTTACGTGTGCGTGTCGGCCTGGGCTTGGGTGGGGCCCCACCCCCCATGGATTGGAGGTGCTGCCAGCACTGGTTCCCTAACTGCAGTGGGGCTGGGGGTGTGGGTTGTATCATCCTCCCAAAGGAAGAAACAGAGCTCAGAACATTGGTGACCTTCACAAGGTCCCCTGGGTCTCTTCCCAGGCCTGGTGCTGCTCAGGACTGGAAGACACCTGGGCTGAGAGGAGCCACCT